GGGTTGGGGGCGGGGGCGGGTATGGCGTTGGCGCTGGGGATACGCTTCTCGGATGGGAAGTTTGTTCTAGTCACAGGCTGATTAGGACGAAACAAACTATGCCGCATCTCGGGTCGGCCTTGGCTGTTTGCACGTAATACCTGGCCTTTATAGCGAAGATTGATGAAGTGGGGAACATGTTCAGCGGGGAGATCTTGAACCTCGAGTCTTTCTCGATCAGGTATCGACACATCCTGACGGTGCCGAGGATGCACACCCGGCTGTCGGTCCACAAGTGGTCGGTGATGAAGTGCGCCTTCCAGGCGCCGTCGCCCAGCGTCGGTCTAGCCTCCAGCGAGGCCCGCCACTCGTCGAAAAACCACAGGATGTCCATGAGTTCGTCTAGTTTCGAGTCGTCGGTCGATCTGATGTAGCCCACCATCTTGTCGAGGCCGTTCTTGCGCGCGTAGTCCGACCGGCTGAAGTTCCCTGCATGTATACGCGCACACACACAGCGGCCTCGTCACCAACCTCACGGGCGGGCAGGCTAGGAACACATAAGTGGCACAATCTATCACACAGCCTACATCTGGCAGACAGTGCCTTTGATGCTTCGACGGCGGTGGTATTTCCTTCTCTCACGGAATCACAAACCTTTGTTTGGACAACGGGTGTGTACAACCTGGATTTCCTGCTACTGCTACACAGTACTACTGCGGCGGCTGCGGATACTGGATTCCTGGACGTGTTCACCTGAAGAAAAGCCAAGAGAACCTGTGAGCAGGACTTGGCTCCCTAAATTTAGTAACTTCCTAGTGGCTTCCTAGGTTTGGACGAGGGATGTGTGGAGCTATGGCAGTGTATGTGTTGCTATTTTGTTTGAGTCATCTGGCTGCTGACACGATGACTGTGGGATCTTGGGAGTGCACGATTATCAAATTGATTGGGAGATGCAGCATACCACGATATCCTGGCTTCAGCTGGGCTTGAATTAACCCTTGTTGCTGTCCCCCGCTCGTTGTATCAGTGGCTTCCTAGGTTCGAGCGAGGGCATGTGTGGAGCTATGGCANAATTTAGTAACTTCCTAGTGGCTTCCTAGGTTTGGACGAGGGATGTGTGGAGCTATGGCAGTGTATGTGTTGCTATACTGTTTGAGTCATAGCTGCTGACACGATGACTGTTGGATCTTGGGAGTGCACGATGATCAAATTGATTGGGAGATGCAGCATACCGCGATATCCTGGCTTCGGCTGGGCTTGAAGTACCCCTTTTGCTGTCCTCCGCTCTTTGTATCAGTGGCTTCCTAGGTTCGAGCGAGGGCATGTGTGGAGCTATGGCAGTGTATGTGTTGCTATACTGTTTGAGTCATAGCTGCTGACACGATGACTGTTGGATCTTGGGAGTGCACGATGATCAAATTGATTGGGAGATGCAGCATACCGCGATATCCTGGCTTCGGCTGGGCTTGAAGTACCCCTTTTGCTGTCCTCCGCTCTTTGCATCAGTGGCTTCCTAGGTTCGAGCGAGGGCATGTGTGGAGCTATGGCAGTGTATGTGTTGCTATTTGTTTGAGTCATGTAGCTGCTGACACGATGACTGTTGGATCTTGGGAGTGTACGATTATCAAATTGATTGGGAGACGCAGCATACCACGATATCCTGGCTTCGGCTGGGCTTGAAGTAACCCTTTTNGTGTATGTGTTGCTATTTGTTTGAGTCATGTAGCTGCTGACACGATGACTGTTGGATCTTGGGAGTGTACGATTATCAAATTGGGAGATGCAGCATACCACGATATCCTGGCTTCGGCTGGGCTTGAAATACCCTTGTGCTGTCCTCCGCTCTTTGCATCAGTGACTTCCTAGGTTCGGGCGAGGGCATGTGTGGAGCTATGGCCGTGTATGTGTTGCTATTTTGGTTGAGCCATCTGGCTGCTGACACGATGACTGTGGGATCTTGGGAGTGTACGATTATCAAATTGGGATATGCAGCATACATACCCTGATATCCTGGCTTTGGCTGGGCTTGAAGTAACCCTTGTTGCTTTTCCCCGCTCATAGCATCAGTGGCTTCCTAGGTTCGGGCGAGGGCATGCGTGGAGCAATGGCACTGTATGTGTTGCTATTTTGGTTGAGCCATCTGGCTGCTGACACGATGACTGTGGGATCTTGGGAGTGTACGATTATCAAATTGGGATATGCAGCATACATACCCTGATATCCTGGCTTTGGCTGGGCTTGAAGTAACCCTTGTTGCTTTTCCCCGCTCATAGCATCAGTGGCTTCCTAGGTTCGGGCGACGGCATGCGTGGAGCTATGGCCGTGT